CCCCCCCCCCCCCAATCTATATCCCTTCGCAACGGCCCTGCCATTGAATAGTTTATGTTAAGGCCCTGTCACACTACTGCATATTGTACTAGCGTATGCCAGCGTATGAAAAATATCACTCACACGCTCGGCTGGTATACGCTGACATACGCTATGGGTACGTCATTACGCATAGGTTGTGTACGTTTCAAGCACGGTCGCATACCGCGGCATACGCTGGCATACGGCGAGACAGATTGACAGAAACATTTTTTCAAGCATGCTTAAACATTTTGTGCGTATTCGGACGTATGGTTTATACGATAAGTATACTCTAGGCACTCGCTGAATACGCTAGAGGTACGCCAGATGTACGGTACTCATACGCTGATATTTCAAAGGATTTTTGTAATTTTGTGCGTATGAAAATTATTTCATTAAAACCATTAATTTTCATACGCCTCTCATACGTTTCTCTCATACGCAATAGTTTGACAGGCTAGGGCCTTAATTACTTAGTATTATAGGCCTATAGAGGTCCAATAAAGTTTCTTTATGCAACAAGCATCGACATTGATAATAATCAACAGTTAATAATACTAGGTACAAAGTACAATAGTCTGGAAAAGGCAAATGATTCTTGCGTGAATATATTAACGGAGGTAACAAAAAAATCGCTATGTTTAAAGCTCACATCTGCGTATTGTTTCTGCCGGTCTGTGGTAAATGGATCAGGTAAGCTCGTTGGTTTGTTAATATATTCACGCAAGAATTATTTGCCTTTTCCAGACTATTGCGCTTTGTATATAATATTATTAACTATTGATGTAAGCACTTTGATTTGTTAAGAGATATAAAACCTTTGCAAAATGAACGGCCAAGTAAATTCAGTCTATAGATAGTTTGGAGTTATAGATTCATTAGAATGCCACCCAACTGTGAAAGGAACTAGACGCAGTATTAAATAACAATGTCAATACCTGGTATTCAATACTACAGTAGTTGTGGCATACGAAAACAATTTAAAACCCTTGCAAAGCGTGCCCTATTGAGAGTTAGAGATATATCTATTGCTCTGGCTAGAGATATATCTAAAGCTTTTTTATATAACGTGCGTCTTAGAAGATCGCTCAACCTGTTATATGATATGTTTTGCGTCCCCTTCGATTTGCTACAATTGCTACAATTAATTAGTGGACAGCCAATCAGAGACGTCCTTCTTCAAGCTGAACCTCTACTGGAGCTTTAAAATATGCGGATGGTATAACGAGAAGAACAGTTTTGACTAGTTTTGAATGTATAAATTTATGCTATTTTACTCACATGTTGCTCGTACTGCGTAACATTTTCTCTTTGTCCCACAGTCGCCAGAAGTCAACAGCACGTTCCCCTCTTTGTGTACGTACACGAACGACTAGCTTCTATTTTCTTCCTATTTTCGTGCTCGATAATAAATCTCTCCTGCATTTTTCTTTCCCTCTCAGATCTTTTTTCTCTTTCAAACATCTCTGTATATCTCTCTCGCTCTTTCTTGTTTAATTATTTTTCGTCTTTTACGACGAATTCCTCGATCGTGTTCGGCCTGGAAAGCCGACCTAGCTTCGAAAGTATATGCTCGCTCTGTCTCGCTGGTTGCACTGAGATTTCTCCCAGATCGTGACGTATCCCACCATTAGCAAGTGCGCCACTCGCTGTGTGGAATGTCGTGTTAAAATGCGCCATTTCAACCGACTTTACGTAAGCTCATACGACCAGACGAAACAGAGAAAAAGCATATTATTTCTTGAGATTTGCCGTCCTTGCTTCCTGATCGATGATCAAGTGCAAATTCCCGCGCGCGCGCTTTGTTTACATATTGCTGCACAAATATTACCTTCCCCTCCCTCCCTCGGGCAGGTCAAACAATTGTCTGTTCGCTTGCTGTATATTTTGCAGTACTGGAATGGAAAATTTTGACCAAATATAACTGTTATTTCTATCTGGAGTTGTGCAAGTAACGTCAATTTTACGGATGATGGTATATTAATGTTCTACTGAGCGAATTTTTGGCCAGATGTTGCTCGTCGAAACCAGTTTAGACCCCGTGAAAGTATACGTGTAATTTGAGTTATTTGACAAACAGGATGGCATTCCCGTTGTGCGTATAGGTATACTCGTCCAATCGGAAGATATTTCGTTAATTCCCACTCAATTTTGGATTTTTATGATGAGGTTTAACCGTCACTATCGTTCAAGGTTCACAAACAGGGTTTTCGTCCATCCAAAGTACATTTGAGTTACTGAGCTAAACTTCAGCAAGTCTCGTATTGTAATATAAATATGTCTGTGTCGTTATCTGACCAATATGTCCAGTCCTGTTTATATACTACAAAACGTCGGCCAGGAGAACAGGCTCTTACGAAAACAGTTAATATTAAAGACGACTATAAACGAGACGAAGTTGTCCATCGAAGATATGAAGGTTGAAAAAATGGACAATTTGTCAAACAGAACCGCGAGACATGTTGCCAAAGCTATGTAGGGTAAGCATTTGTACTTATATCAGATAAATTGTGTATACATGTCATTTGGTATAGAACGCTCTGATTTAATGAAAGTTTAGGCTCCTAAAATAATTGCGCCAAATATTCAAAGGCTAATTCAAGATTGCTGAACTCAGTCATAGATCTGTTTAATAATTTATTACATGCAAATCACTGCTAAAAATACTACAGTATATACCCCAATTACTGTATAAATATTATAGAACCCTTGTCTTTGCCCTTGGCAGGCAAAACGTGCAAGTTATGTTTACGCAATATATTTCTGATCTGCACTGTTGTGTTATGCCTGACTCAGGGAGGACAGGCATACCTAGGGGAATTTGACAGTTTCAATTTTGCTACTGTATGTATGACAATAAGCTCCACTGCAGAGCATCACTTTTTAGTCAATCTTTGTCAAATTTTCCCCTATTAAGAAATTTCAAGTTGCGAGAACTCAAGTCAATTCCTGTGTATGCCATCCTTCCCCAGGCGGACAAAACATTGCTTCGTGCATTATTCCAAAGTGCATATCACAATCACAAAACTCTTCACAGCCTAGGTTAACAAGGCAAGGATTAAGTGTCTATTGTACTATAGTATACCTAGTGCTGTATTTCATATATGGAGGCAGACTAGCCCAGGTATCCAAGCAAGTTACAAGGCACCCAGACTGGCCACAGCCTACTACAGTTGAGGTAGGCCATTACGCTTGGGCAGGTCAGTTCAGTTCTCATGTTATCGCAAGATTAAATTGGACAATTGACAAGAAATAATTATACCAAATGTGGTGTCTCTCCAAAACCAGACCAGCTCGGGTACCCTGGCTTCTCTTTCTTGCTTGCGAAATGTGAATTTACTTTTTGTGTTAAATTTCTTGAGGCACTATTAAAGCTGTGTACAGTGTAAAATAGCATAGTAAGTGCACCAGGAGGGATTGTGCCTTTAACATATATCTCATTTTTTATAGGATTATATGTTCGTCGTAAACTGAAAGCATTGAATGCTTATGAGAGTAATCTAGCATACGTTTGATGAAAGGTAACTTTGTGTACTAACATTATATTTATGAAACACCACAATGACCACATTCATACAAGTTAACTTGTTGCTTGTGATGTTACTCTGAGTGTATATCCACACCGGGCAAGCTTGAAAAATATGCCTGACCACGGTGGGAATCGAACCTACAACCTTTGGAATGCTAGCCCAATGCTCTGCCAGCTGAGCTACGCGGTCTGGTCGGTTCGAGTATGCGATATTTCGGAACAGAATCTAGTTCCTTCGATATCAATGTAATCTAGTAATAATAATATTTTCTGTGTTGGTGCAAGCCAACAAGTACAACCGCGTAGCTCAGTTGGCAGAGCATTGGGCTAGCATTCCAAAGGTCGTAGGTTCGATTCCCACTGTGGTCAGGCATATTTTTCAAGCTTGCCCGGTGTGGATATACACTCAGAGTAACATCACAAGCATCTTAATTATTTACCTGAGTACATTGCACCAACACAGAAAATATCAAGTTAACTTGTATTTGCAGGCCAGCTAGGCCCGTAGCTAGACTGATCATTGGGGGTGTATATTCATATATTCGTGTTCTGCCTGAGGGATTTCTTTTGAAAGTAATTGTTAACGTTGTTACACTACATGAACATGAATATATGAATATACACCACCCCGCACCCCTCCAATTATCGGTTCTAGCTACGCCGCTGTTGCAGGCATACACTTATGAAACATGAGTCATCTTATACAGCTATACTAAATATTCTGTTTTAATTTTAGTGTTGACTCTCAACACAACATCATGCTGTGTTCCAAGGTTTCCAAGGAACTGGCTCATGAGTATGGAGGGCCACACCTGTTTTAATAAAAGGTATGGTGTACACAGTATTTATGGTATTTGTAATTGTCTTGCCCAAGGCCAAAAAAAATATGGGTTTCCGGTTTCTTCTTATAAGAACTTAGATAGGGTAGGTCGGTTTTAATTTTATTTTAAACTTTTTTTTTAATTTTCCAAACAAATGAACGCCATTTTGTTTAGTCAGTGCTTTCACATCCAAATTAGATAAATTTCCCTAATATTGCCTCAAATTTCAATTTTTCACGAACTTTTTCCTGTAAGTGGAAACACTTACAAGCATGATCCAATAAAAAAGTTTAGGGTCGGAATTTCGACGTCCAAAAGGTAGGTAGGGTCGGGAAACCGGAAACCCACATATTTTTTTGGCCCAATAGATATATTTTAAAACCTTATACCGGTAACTCTTGTGGTATCTGGATTCTGGTAATCACTTTACCATACTTTACTCTGTCAATTTTTCAATATTAATTACCAGGTGATATATGTTGGGGGGTCACAAAACTCCCAACACAGCAACGTCTACAGAGTGGTATCACTTTAGTTTTGCTCACACCAGAGAATCGTCCTATATATGACTAAAGCTAGACAATTGTACTGTACTTGTACATAGCACATGTCTCAAAATTTGATTTAATTAAAGACTTTTGAGCATAGTATAGAAAGAGTATAATATGCAGCTACTGTAATTCTTATGATGTTGTCACAAGCAATGCTGTATTGCAGTAGTCAAATGTCACATGTCAGCAATATTATCTGCATTTGCTTGCATTTTGTCAAAAATATTTGCGTTTTGGATTGTAGAATTGACTATTGCATGTGACAACCTTTGCATGTGCACTGTATTTAAAGAATGGTCCTTAAAATGATTTTTTCTGTGTTGGTGTTATGTACTCAGGTGAATATAATGTTTGTGCAATGATACTCTGAGTGTATAACCACACCGGGGAAGTTTGAAAAATAGACCTGGCCAGGGTGGGAATCAAAGCTACAGTACGACCTTGGAATGCCCAATGCTTTGCCAACTGAGCTATCATGATTACTAGATTGCATTGATATCGAAAAAACTAGACTCAGTTCTGAAATATCACATACTCGAACCAACTTGACTGCGTAGCTCAGTTGGCAGAGCATTGGGCTAGTATTCCAAGGGTCATCTAGGTTCGATTCCAACCGAGGCCGGGCATATTTTTCAAGCTTACCCGGTGTGGATATACACTCAGAGTGACATCACAAGCATCATATTCACCTGAATACATTACACCAACACAGAAAAAATTATGATTATTACATTGCATTGTTATCGAAGTAACTAGGCTCATTTCCGAAAATCACATAGTATTACTCGAACCGACCTGACTGCGTAGCTCAGTTGGCAGAGCATTGGGCTAGTATTCCAAGGGTCATACTGTAGGTTCGATTCCCACCGTGGCCAGGCATATTTTTTTCAAGCTTGCTTGGTATGGATATACACTCAGAGTAACATCACAAACATCATGGTCTTTAAAATGTTTACGCGGTTTTTACATATGATTTGGTACAAGTTCTCGTGAACATCCAGAACAAATTATTTTGCGTGTTTAAATTTTCCACCAACATTATCACACAGCAAGGGATTAAAGACTTTGAAGATCTGTTAACAGCTTTAGCATTAATTTAAACAGTATAACCAATTTTTTAAGATTGAATTTTTATTATTTTATAAAGGACGAGGTTTGAACTTATAACACTGCATTTAATTTTGATAGGCATTAATTTAGCTTTGTATTTCAAGGGGGTTGCTCAATGTAAAACATATCCGTCTTTGGGTGTTTGTGACATTTGTGACACTCTATTTGAAAGTTACCTTTTGCTTTGTCTCCCCGAGCAATGTATAAATTTAAATACATGCAGTAAATGACATTTTTATGCTCATTGCTTGTAATGCCTCGATAACCTCGTGGATGAATCTGTAAGGCTTCCAAAGTCGGATTTCTTGCTAAGCAAAGTTGTGGCATGCATAAGCAGTCTACCTAACACCCCCCCCCCAAAAAAAAAAAATTACCTACTGTATGTCGCCTGCGACGAAAAGGGAAATCGTGTGTAAAATGATTATGAAGAAGAATTTAAAGAACTTTCAGAGTCTGAACAACGCGCATACGGTGGAAGGAAAAGTCATCCAGGCAATGTCATCCAATCATCAAATCAACATTTGATACAAAATTGTACTGTGTGAACTCAATAGTCAACATTTGTACTATACGTTTGCTAAGAACTTGTAGTAGTGTCAAGCTTATTTGTTATTATTTTGTATCTTTCTTTAGAGACTTGCACGCAGGCTGAAGCACGTGGAAAAGGCAAATTGGGGTGCCCAGAAAACTGCAAGAGTGTTCGATGTTATGAGGGCAAGCTACTGTACATGTCATCAGAAGAAAGCGAGGTCGACGAAACAACAAAAAGGATCATGCGTTACAACATTCGTAGGCTACCCTGGGAGAGTCCATCTCTATACGAAGGGCAAAGAAAAAGTTAGACAGGCTCCACACCTTGTCTTTGTCAGAACTGGTACGGAGCAGAATTGTTCCTCGCGAGGGTGGACAGCCCTCCATTCGACCTAAGCCAAACGACTTCCCGGAGTGGGCAGCTAAGAACGAGGATGATAATGTTGTTGATGAGAGTGCCCATTCATTATCCCTAGTGGCTCTTCGCTGAATGACTCTGTTAATGACATTTTAAATGATCATGACTCTGATTGCTATAGTTTTTCAGTATAGTAAAGACCCACGATATATCACCCAAAGTTTTCCATGTTCTAATGTATTAATAGTGCTTTATATATTTGTTGTGAACCTGCATGGCTTCTTAAACAGGTTCATACAAAATTCTAAATAGAAATGTTAGACTGAAAGGTTTTTATTCGTGGGTTTTCATTCTGCACGTGATAATTTG